TGGCAGAAGGGGCAATGAGCAGCTTTTTTACAGGTCAAGTCATGCTTCAAGGAGCAGAATCTTTAAAGCCTATTTTTAAAAACAGATTTTCCGTAAAGCACCAAGTAAGGGGCAGCTGCTATGTTTGGGCCTTGCTCAGAAATATCAATTGTCTGCTGCCACAGGAAACATTCTGACACAAATTCCAGAAAAATAATAACAGCAGATTCAGTTACCATATTTCTGTATTTGGGCAACTCAGTTGCACTTACCTGCTTGAGCTATCATGCATCGATAATAAGCCATAAATAAAACAAGCTAAGCCAACTACAGCTGCAAAAAACAGCATTTCTGTGTAAAATCCAAGAAAGACAAAATAGATGCCAATTTTTTCTCCATAATAATCCCTGTGAAAGAGGGTAAAAACAGAATCAGTAAAAACAGAATCAGAATCTCTGCAAGAATGATATAGTCCAGAGTCTTGATTTTGTATTCAGACAAGTCTGTAGTCTAATTTTGGCTCCCCTGCTTTCTAGCCATGTAATTTTGCTGAAGTTACTAAGCTTTCTAAACTTTAGTTTCCACATCATAAAATGCAGGATGATGCTCAGCCACAGAACTGGTGTCAGGATTACAAACGACAACAATATAAATAGGAAGCCAACTGAGTGGAAGTTCAGTTTTATTTTTGAAATAGGGTGATTTGAAAAGCTTTTAAATTTTAAGGAGACTTTAATAAAGTGTGGAACAGTCTGCAGTGTAACTTCTAGCTGTTAACAAATCGAAATCAAACAATCTGCACATGGACTTTCGCTGAGGAACAATAGTTTAGTAACTGGCACATGGTACAAGTGAGATCACACTGTGTTAATCCAGTATTTCACTACTCAGCCATGTCCTACCTGCACTACTGCAGCCCTTAGCCCCATCTCTTGCTTCATTTCCTTCCGGTACCTTCGGGGGTCCTCAGATGTGTCTGTCTATGCTAGGAATATCTTTGGGGCACAGCCTTTAACACTGTCTCCAGGCCACTGCGTAAGGATCTCAGCTCTTCCAAGCCAATGATGCTCATCTTTTTGAGGAGGAGTTCCCCTTTCCCGCTCTGGGTTTCGTTAGTCACTGAACCTCATCCCATCCCGCATCCCAGAAGGTAAATTCTCTTAGAGGAATTTTTTTTTTCAGTCAAATTGACTAGGGTATAATTCACATACAAATAAAGTACACCTGACTTAAGTGTACAGTTCGATAAATTTAGATACACACACTCATAACCACCTTCAGGATCAACATACTGAGAATTTCCATCATCTCAAAAAATTTCCTTGTATCT